AGCCAGTCCTTTCTCTTTCTGGCCCTTTCTCTTTCCTGGGCGCCGCCCTCGGGCTCTGAGCCCGGGCGGGGGCTCCACGCGTGGTTTTCCGGGGATTCGCTGGAGATCAGAGCCTCCCGGCTCTCCTGCCCTGGCTGGCTTCGAACTGCGATCCTCAGAGCTCAGCCTCCTGAGTGGCATTGTGGGTGCGAGCCACCAGCCCCTGGCTGTGAATAACGCAACGACAACGGAACGCCCCGCGCTTACTGCAGAACGACCGGAGCCCACTCCAAGGCGGCACGTTTGTATATAAATCAAATTTTATTTCCATAGCATACAAAAGGTATAAATAATGATTTCTGCAGAACCAATCATCTGTCTCTGCAAGCACAACGTCGGGGAAGTGGGGTGACCGCTCCCTGCGGGGGGAACAAGCAGGAAGCACAGGTCAGGCCCAGCCCGCAGCTGCCCACGGCCCCCCCACCGCCCCGCCCGGTGCTGGGGATGAGGCAAGTGGGCTGCTTTGTGCTTGTGGCTTCACAGAGGATCAGGGCGGCGGCAGCGGGCGGGGGGATTCTCGGGCCTCAGGGCACTTGGATAAAGAAGGCACTTATGGAGGAGCAAGCCTGAGGACGTGGACAGCCAGGCAGGCGGGGCTGGCCCGGCTCCCCTGGCATCCCACAGCCGCGCACTGCAGGGTGAGGCGGTGGGCAGAGGGCCAGGCCACGGAGCTTCTCGAGTTCGGGTACACTAGGGGTCTGGGGAAGAGTGCTCCCACGCAGAATGCCTGAGGAGCCTCACTGTTGGATGATGGTGACACGTGACCCGTGCAGCGTGGCCAGGGCCACGTGACCCCAGGGCCCAAAGCGGGCGCAGGTGTGCAGAGCCAATCTGCCAGCTGCGGCTCAGGACTGGGACAAAAATCTCGCGTGGACGTTCCCCATCCTTCCTGGTGTGCAGGCGTTTGGTCTCCCCACAGGGTGGGGAGGGGTCCCCTGAATAGTGAGTGCTTTGGGCGTAACCCAAAACACAGGCGATTAAGACAATCAAATGTTTGTCACGGATCACGCATGGCCACAGCCTCCTTTGCTGACATGGGTGTCCTTCCCCCCACATGTCTTGGGGGACAGGACGGGGACATGGGGGGGTGTTAAGCCTTCCTGAATTCATGCGGTGAAGCAAGTCTGGCTGTCTCCTAGTGTGGTGTGGGCGGGCTGGGCCGCAGGATTCAGTCACTTGTGGGCACTTGAAATGGACAGACTTTGGGCTGCTCAGTGCCAATGGCAGATGGCACTCAAGGCCTGTGGTGGGCACAGCGAGGGCCACCCGGGGGACAGCGAATGAGCATCGCAAGATCGAACTGGAAGATGGCGGTTCCCGAGACTGGCCCGGTCTCCGTGCCCAGCACCTGCAGGCCCACCTGGAAGATGCTGGTGTGCGTGCGTGCGTGCGTGCGTGCGTGCGCGCACACACTTGTAGTGTACGTGAAGGTGAGCAGCTACACGTGCGTGCGCGCACACACATGTAGTGTACGTGAAGGTGAGCAGCTACACACCTGACGCGGGGCCAGCCAGGGAGGGCCCCGCTGGCCACATGGGGCCCGCCCACCGGCTTTGTAAATAAAGTTTTATTGGAACACCGCCGTGTTCGTTCATTCCTGCACGAATTGCTTGTGGCTGCTTCTGCCCTACAAAGGCAGATGTGCACATCTGGGATAGGCACTATCCGGCCGCTAAAGGCAACGCTTGGACCCTCTCTGGAAAGGACTGCAGGAGAAAAGTGACTGGAGGACTGAATCCTAAGAACCTGTATCACCTCCTGTTCAACGCTCCCAGTGGGGCCGGGGGGGACTTGAACTCAGGCCCTTGCGTGTCGGAGGCAAGCCCTCAAACCACTGAGCTACAGCCCAGCTGTGGGAATCTCCCCCCAACTAGACAAGAAGCAGCTCTCTGCGCTCCCGTCTCTCTTTCAGGCTGAACCCTGATCCCTGCCAGTCTTTGGAGTCCAGAGAAGGTGTGTGTGCCCCCGCGTAGCGGCACGCACGCGCAGCACCCCCGCGGGCGTCCTCATTCACACGCCAGCTTGCTGTCGAAGCTGGACAGGCCGATGGCGAAGGCCTGCAGCGCGCACAGCGGGTAGTTGTAGTCCAGCGTGAACACGTCCTCCGCCACGCGGCCGAACTGCATGACTATGTAGTCAGCTGCGGACAGGAGCGGCAAGGGCGTTAGGCGGGAGCCGAGGATGGGAAAGGCGCCCCAAGCAGGCCGAGCGGCCATGGGGCTCCTTAGAAATGGCAATGGGAGGCAGTGGTGCAAGCCTATCGCCCCAGCTCCCTGGAGATGGAGAGCGGGAGACCGCCCCTTGGGCAGGGAAGTTCGAGACCCCATCTCAACCAATGACTGGGCACAGTGCACCATGCTCGTCACCCCCCAGCAGCTCGGGGAGGCCCAAGGAGGAGGATCACAGACCAGGCACAAAGGGAAGCCTACCAGATGACAGCAAAATAACCAGCGCAAGAGGGGCTGGAGGCTTGGCTCAGTGGTAGCGCACCCGCCTGGCAGGTGCGAAACCCTGAGTTTTAATCTCCAACCCAGAGCCAGCAAGAGAGAGAGGGAGGACTGAGGGAGGGAGGGGAGGGGAGAGGAGGAGAGAGAAATTGCAAAATGAACTTATATGCAGGGAGGTGGGGGGGGGCAGGGGAAACAGAGAAGGGGGGACATTATCCAATGCCTGACTTACAAAATCGGAACCCCTCAATATCCACGTTAACGAAAGCAATGGACGTGTGTTTTGAAACTTAGGGCACGTGCGTCTGGGGCTGGTGTGGTCTATCTACGATCCCGGCACTCAGGAGACTGAGGCAGGAAGACGCGAGTGTGCAGCAGCCTGAGCTAGGCAGCAAGTTCGAGACCAGCGTCAGCCCCACGGCAGGCCTGGCCTGGGCAAGCAAGCTCCCAACTGAGTGAAGGCAGAAGAGTCTAGAACAGCAGCTTGGATGCACTCCAGGGCCAGAGCCCAAGGGAGCTTTATTTACCCACAGTCTCCTGCGTGCACTTGGGCCCGGCAGCCCCCGCAAGACGGGTTCCAGGCCGGTCTCCCGAGGGCATGCTCCCTTCCGGCTCGGGGACGTGCCTCGGCCCGCCCCCCACGCCCCACGCCACTCACGGTCGTTCCCGTGGACAATCTGGAAGTTCTTCACGGAGGCCTGCGTGACGCGGCCGTGGAAGTTGAGCACGTAGGACTGCGTGTCGTCGCTCCACACCGGGGCCTTGTTGTGCAGCTCGATCAGGTTCTCCATGGCTTTGTTCTGCCACTTGGACAGCAAGCCCTCGTGGTCCTGCGGGAGGAAGCCACACGTGGACACCTGCGCGTGCGCACCGCGGCCCACAGGCAAGACCACAAGCCAGCCACGGGCACACGAGGTCAGCTGTGTGTGTCAGGTGTGTGTGTGTGTGTGTGTCAGGTGTGTGTGTGTGTCAGGTGTGTGTGTGTGTCAGGTGTGTGTGTGTGTGTGTGTGTGCGTTCCCAGCACAGGAGTGGCAACCCCCAGCAATAGTGCTCATCCTGGGTTTGGTCTATTTTTGCCACTTTGGGTTTTTGGTGGGCTTTCTGGTCCATTGTGGGGCTTGAACTCAGGGCCTGGGCGCTGTCCCTGAGCTCTTTTGCTCAAGGTGAGTGCTCTAACGCTTTGAGCCACAGCGCCAGTTTTTGAGTGGTTAATTAATTAAGAGTCTCACAGGGACTTTTCTGCCCGGGCTGGCTTCAAACCGTGATCCTCAGAACTCAGCCTCCTGAGCAGCCGGGATTCCAGGTGTGAGCACCGGTGCCAGACTGTCCGGAGATCGTACGTAATGGTCTCGTGAAGGAGCGTGTGGCACACTCCGGGCCTTCCTCGTGTCATACCACAGTCACTCACGGTCCTTGCGGGCGTGTTCTTACTTACATTCCGTGGCCGGAACGGGATCCGCTCGTGGTTCAGATTCATCCCAGGAATGATCACGGACATCTTCCTGGGGCCTTTAAATCCAAGTACGTTTGTTTCCTGGAAGACACAGGAAGGAAAGAAGCCGGGTTCCGGTCGAATGTGAGGCTTTCTTAGGGGTGCAAAAGGTTGGCGGAGCCAAAAGCACCAAAAGTGTTTTCTGACTTTGCTCCAGGTTAGACAGGAAGGGCGAATGGACACTAGGAAGCCAGGCACGGCGGCGTGGCCCCAGCCCTGAAGCGGGAGACAGAGGCAGGCGAACCCCTGGAGCCCAAGAGTTTGGCACTGCCTAGCCGCACAGTGAGACCCTGGCAAACGTATCAGGAGCAAGGTATGGCAGCGCATGGCTGTAATCCCGGAACTGGAGGGAGGCTGAGGCAGGAGGCTGAAGCGTTCTGAGGCCAGCTTAGGGTACACAGTGGGATCCTGTCTCAAACAAAGACAAAACAAAACCAAAGAAAGGAAGTGAGGGAGGAAAATTGATTTTGTTGGTTGGTTTGATTGGCTCAGAGGTAAGGAAGGTTTACTAAATTACATTCATGAAGAAAAAGGAAGGAAGAGAAAAAGCAAGAAACAGTACCAAAAAAATGAAAAATAAAGCCGGGCGCCAGTGGCTCACACCCACCATCCCAGCTACTCAGGCTGAGAGCTGAGGATCGCGGTTCAAAGCCAGCCCCGGCAAGAAAGTCCTTGAGACTCTGATCTCCAGTAAACCGCCAGAAAACCAGAAGTGGCGCTGTGGCTCAAGTGGTAGAGCGCCAGTCTTGAGCTGAAGAGCTGAGGGACAGCGCCCAGGCCCTGAGTTCAAGTCCCAGGACTGACTTAAAAAATAAATAACGACATCTAGCAACAGCTCACAGACAATTCAAACATGAGTCTGGACAAAATGATGCCAGCTGTAGTAACCTGGAAGGGAACTGGGTTAGAGGCTGGGGGGGGGGGGAGGGGAATGGAGAGGGACAGAGGAAGAGAGGAGGGAAGAGGGAAGGGATGGGGTCCTTACGTAGCAGATGGCCGCCAGCTCCTGTCGGGTGTGGGCCTTCTCCACCAGCCCTTGGGCCTTGACCGGGTTGACTCCGTGGTCATACACAGTGAACTTGGTCCCCATCAGGTTGGATCTAGCGTCAGGGGAAGAGGCCAGCAAGACACTTAGTATTTGTGTGTCTAGGAAAGAGGAGAAGCGAGAGATCCAGCCGCCTCTTCTCCGAAGCCTCCGCCGCCCACCTACTACAAAGCGCTCCCGTCATAAGGGGCCTTGGTTTCCTTTAACGTTTTCTTCCTGAGGCTTGAACTGGGGGACTGGGCGCTGTCTCTGACCTAGTTTTTGTGTTTTCTTTTCTGGTCGGTCGTGGGGCCTAAACTCTGGGCCTGGGCGCTGTCCCTCAGCTCTTCAGCTCAAGGCTGGCGCTCTACCCCTCGAGCCACAGCGCCACTTCCGGTTATCTGGTGGTTTATTGGCGGTGAGAGTCTTGTAGACTTTCCTGCCCGGGCTGGCTTTGAACTGCGATCAACAGATCTTGCCTTCCTGAGTACTTAGGCAGACAGGCGTGAGCCACCACGCTTGAGCGCATCTGTCCATTGTTCGCTGAGCGCAGGTGGACATGCTAACTGCATGTCAGCACCCAGGAGGGATGGGAGGGCGTGGGGGGGGGAGGGGGGGCTCCCACCTGAGCTTGCCTACGTAACTCTCCCCTTCACGAGACAGATCCGTGGGATCAATGGAGATCAGGTAGTTGGATGTTTTGCTCTTTTTCCGCTTCCTACCTGCAAGGAGAAATACCTGGAAAAGAGGGGTGGCGTGTCCATGGGTGAAGCCCACGGACCTGTGCCAGTCCCTCCACAATCTAACCTTCCGCTCTGGATCCCCCGTTTCCAACCCCTTGACACCCCACAATTCATCAGCAGGGGTGCAGGGTGGGCTGTGCGGGGGGGGGGGAAGAGCGCTTGGCCAGCCTGTGGGTGGAGGTGAGGAGGGGGGGGAGGGGACCCCCCCGGAACACCAGGCCCCGCACCTTGCGGCTCTCGTCCTTCTCCAGGTGCATGTAGTAGGTAGGGAAGAGCCCGCGGTCCATCCCCTTCTTGTCTCTGGTGATGCGACACTTGACCGTGACGCCCCGCGGGGCCGGGCTGTAGGCGAAGTCCTCCAAGTTCTCCACCTCCCCCAGCTGCAGCTCAGCCTGCGGGGCTGCGGAACAGGAAGCGCCCGGGTCCTGACGGCACAGCCGCGGGGGAACAAGGGAGACACACATAAAGGACTCACCCCCGTGACGTCAGCCGCCCGGAAGAGGAGACTCTGAACAGTCAGATGAGGGCGTGGGGACTGGGACTCGGCAAGGAGCCAAGTTCAGAAACAGGGATGGACGGGCTGGGAAGGTGCTCAGGGGGAGAGCGCTGGCCTGGCACGCAGGAAGCCCTGGGTTCGATTCCTCAATACCACAGACACAGAAAAAAAACTGCAAGTGGAGCTGTGGCTCGAGTGGGAGAGCACTAAGCCTTGAGAAAAAGCAGCTCAGAGACAGTGCCCAGGCCCTGAGTTCAAGGACTGGCAAAAAATAAATTAAAAAAAATAAGCTGGACACTGGTGGCTCACACCTGGAATCCTCGCGACTTAGGAGGCTGAGATCTGAGGATCGCAGTTCAAAGCGAGACCAGGCAGGAAAGTCTGCGAGACTCTTATCTCCAATGAACCACCAGAAAACCAGAAGTGGCGCTGTGGCACAAGTGGTAGAGGGCTCACTTTGAGCTGAAGAGCTGAGTGACAGCGCCCAGGCCCAGAGTTCAAGCCCCACAACCGACAAAAATAAATCCAGGCACCACTGGCTCACACCTGTAATCCTAGCTACTCAGGAGGCCGAGATCCAAAAGTCACAGTTTAAAGCCAGCCTGGGCAGAAAAGTCTGTGAGACTCTCATCTCCAATGAACCACAAAGAGCCAAAAGTGAAGCTATGGCTCAAGCCTTGAGAGAAAAAGTTCAAGGAGAGTGCCCAGGCCCTGAGTTCAAGGCCCAGGACAGGCAAAAAAATTAACATAAAAAGATGTAGCATTATAATAGCTACCCCAAGACGGAAATTCTAGAAGTCAGAGATGTTAAGCCTAAATGTGAACGTGTATTTGCAAGTGGTATTGAAACACCAAAGGCACGGCTCCGGCAATAGGGACAGTAGCTCCAAAGCGAGAAGCGTCAGGAGCACACACCGAGGCTGGCTCTGGTGAGGACGCAGAGCTGGGTCTCTCCCTTTCTGAGTGCGGTGACTGGAAACCTGTTTTCTTCCCTTCTTCCTCCTCACCATCGGACTCCTCCTCGTCGAAGTTCAAACTACTGGAGATACCTGGCAGCCAAGGAGATGCCGTCAACACCCACCACCACCACTTCCAAAACATCCGAACTAGGAGCTGGGCGCTGTGGCTCACACCTGTAATCCTAGCTCCTCAGGAGGCTGAGATCTGAGGATCATGATTTGAGGCCACCTGGGCCAAGAAAGTCATTGAGACTCTTATCTCCAATGAACCAAAACAAAAAACAAAAGGCTGGGAGTTGTGGTACAAGTGGTAGAGCACTAGCCCGGAGCACAAAAGGTCAGGGGCAGTGTCCAGGCCCTGGGTTCAAGCCTCAAGATGGATATAGAAAAAGAAAAACGCTGGCCAGACTCACCGTGCTTCTGCAGGATCTCCTGCAGGTCTGGCTTGGGCGAAGCGCTCTCCTCATTCACGCTGCCTTCTGTGTCTTCGTCAGGGGTGGAAGAGCTCACGGAGAGCACGTGCACTCTGCTTTCTGACTCGGGAGCCTCTGGTTTCAGGAAGGCGGCTGGCCCATCAATGCCTAGGACGCCAAAGAGAAAGGAGAGTGTGTTTTGTTGTTGTTGTTGTTTTGTGGATCGTTGGGCTTGAACTCTGGGCCTGGGCGCTGCCCCTCAGGCTCTTCAGCTCAAGGCGAGCGCTCTACCCCTTGATCCACAGCGCCACTTCTAGCTTTGCTGGTTATGTGGTACTAAGGAATTGAACCCAGGGCCTCAAGCATGCATGCATGCAAGCGCTCTACCACTGAGCCACCTTCCCAGCCCCTGTGGGAAGGGGCGTGGCTCCAAGGCCCCGCCCGCTGGGTCCCACATGACCCCTCCAGCTAGCCACTGCAAATCGGGCTGGGCAGACCTCCTGCACCATGCGAAGACCTGCAAGGGCCCCCAGCGGGGACCGCCAGGGCCTGCTCGCCAGCCCCGTGGAGACCCCGCCGCCTCGGTACCCACCGTGGAGGACCACGTCCTGGTGCAGGATCTGAGGCTCCACCAGGGGCGTCTGCTCCTCGCTCCCCCTGGGCTTCAGCCTGCGCAGCCGGGCCTCGGGGTTGGGCTGCACCATGAGGGGCTCCAGGCGCTTCTTCCTCTGCTTCTTCTCCAGCAGCGCCCTCTAGGGGAGAGATGCGGCACTGCGGTCAGGAACCTAGTCACTGACTCTGACCTGAGTTCAAGTCCCAGCACTCAAACACAAGGAGCACTTAACTATTCCTCAGTGTTCCTAAAGGGGTTGGGTTGAAGCTATGGAATGAGACCCTTGGCCTAGAGAGAGAGAAAAACCAGCAAGATCACTTGTTGGGGCTAAAAGTAACCAGTCAGAAGGTGAAATTGTTTTAAGGAGAAGATACAGGAGAGGGATGGCGGGGACGGGGTTGCTGGCAAGCAGAAGCTCCCTAGTATATCTAATGTGTGCTCTGGTGGTTCACGCCTCTCCTCCCAGCTACTCAGGAGGCTGAGATCTGAGGATCGCGGTTCAAAGCCAGCCCGGGCAGGAAAGTCTGTGAGACTCTGATCTCTAAGGAACCACCAAAAAGCCAGAAGTGGAGCTGTGGTTTAAGTGGTAGAGCACTTGCCTTGAGCAAAAGAGCTCAGGGACAGCGCCTAGGCCCTGAGTTCAAGCCTCAGGACCAGTACCAAAAAAAAAAAAAATCTTACTAACTTCCGTGAGATCCGAGGAACAGGAGTGGAAGTTTTACATTGGAATGCGTGCACGGAGAACGTCATCTCTAACAAGGACGGGTACCGATGGGCAGCCCCACGCACAGGGAGGGTTTCCACCAGGATCCTGTGCCCACCCGAGGAATCAACCCTCTCCCCCACAGGTAGCACAAGACACAAAACTCTTCCCTTGGGCGTGGGGCAGCCTGGTGAACTTGTGAAAATTAACACACCCCTCCAGGAAGTGTGTCCACAGGGCACTGGCGCCTCAAAAGAGCAAAGTCACGTCTCCATCTCCCCTGGAGATGGACTCAGAGGTGAGCTCAGGGCAGGTGTAGCTCAGGCTGGGACTTGCCTAGCGGGCACAAGGCCCTGGGTTTGGTTTCTGTGTAAGGGGAAGAAAAGCCAAGTGACTCAAGTGGACCGCAGGCAAGTGGGAGAGACAGAACTAGAGAGCCGTTGGGAGCGAGCCGCGGAGCACCTGATTGTCCAGTCGCAGCTGCCGAAGTCGCAGAGACTCATCTTCAAAGGCACTGTGGCAGAAACGAGCAAGAGACGCAAAGGTGAGAAAACCAAATCATTCCCAAGCCTTGTCACCGAGGGAGGGCTGGCTGAAGGGACAAAATATATTACCGTGGGAGCTGGGAGCTGGGCTCTGCGTGCGTGTGCGTGTGTGTGTGTGTGTGTGTGTGTGTGTGTGTGTGTGAACGTGTGTGAACTCGGGGCCTGGGCGCTGTCCCTCAGCTCTTCAGCTCAAGGCGGGCGCTCTACCACTTGAGCCACAGCGCCGCTTCCAGTTTCCTGGTGGTCCATTGGAGATCAGAGTCTCACAGACTTTCCTGCCCGGGCTGGCTTCGAACCACGCTCCTCAGATCTCAGCCTCCTGAGTAGCTAGATTGACAGGCGTGAGCCACCGACGCCCGGCTAATAACAAAACCTTGGAAAGCATGTTACGTGTTGCTCAGTGTATTGATTTTCGAAGACCAGACTCAACACGGCAGGCAGGAAGAGCATCCTTGCAGTTTCTGCCCAGCCCAGAAGACTCCCCACTGGTACCAAGACCAGCCTTGGGAGACGCCGCTTATTCGGTGCCGCCCCAGCGTCTCCACCACCGTCACTCAAGCTGACAGACCCGGGCAGACGTCGGATCACTCCCGCCTGCCACCCTGCCACCGGATCCCACAGGCCCCGCTCAGTAGAGACCACGGTGTTCACAGGACCCTGCTCTCCTTGACGCCTGGGGAAACGGAGACACACCTGCAGAGGCAGGATGAAGAGGTGCACACTAGTTGCGGCCTGTGATCCACTGCACTAAAACAGAGGAGACACCCCTGGGGCTCACCTGTAACCCCAGCACTCGGGAAGAAAGGCTGAGGCAGTAGGATCTCAAGTTTGAGGCCTGCCGAGTCTCCAACCAAGGTTGGGCACAGTGGCTCCTGCCTATAATCCCAGCAGCCTTGTAGGAGACAGAGGAAGGCAGATCGAGGTTCTGAATACAAGACCCTATTAGAAAAATAACTAGAGCAAAAAATCCAAGCCTCAGGAGGCCCCTCTCCTCCAGAGAAATGACAATGACACTTCCAAGTTGTAACCAGAGTTCTGGCCCACTAGGAGCTGGTGAGGATGTGAATCCATGGCGAACGGTAGCGGTCACTCCCGTCACCAGCTCCACAGCAGGGGTGAGGCCGTGAGGTCTGAGAAGACTGAAGGAAGGTACGCAGAGGCTCTCCTGGAGGCCGGACACCTCCTCAGCCCCGCCTGTCCTTCCCGGCTACTGTAGACCAACCAGCACCAGGCATGGCTGCTCTTCCTACTCCCAAATACGCGTTCGAGACACCATTCTCAGGGCTGGGCAGGTGGCTCAGTGGTAGAGCGCTCGCCTTGCATGCCTGAGGCTCTGGGTTTGATTCCTCAGCACCACATAAGCAAAAAGAAAAAAGCCGGAAGTGGCGCTGTGGCTCAAGTGGTAGAGCGCTAGCCTTGAGCTGAAGAGCTGAGGACAGCGCCCAGGCCCAGAGTTCAGGCCCCACAACTGACTAAAAAGAGAGAAAACGAAAAGACACCATTCTCTTTTGGTTGCTCTTTCAGAATCCCTCTCAAAACGTGAAACCTGCCAGGTATTGAGGGCTCACACCTGTATCCTTACTACTTAGGAGGCTGAGATCTGAGGACAGAGGTTCGAAGCCAGCCCAGGCTGGAAAATCAATCTATGAGACATCTGATCTCCAATAAGCCACCACCAAAAAGCTGGAAGTGGAGCTGTGGCTCAAAGTGGTAGAGCGCTAGGAGCCTTAGCACAAAAGCTCAGGGCAGCATCCACGCCCTGAGTTCAAGCCCCAGGACTGGCAAAAAAAGTGAAAACTTCCAGAGGAACCCAGCCATGGCTAAAAATGATCGGGAGACCCCCACCCCTAAATGCACCCCCTGCTCTTTGCTTCCCCTCCTTCCTGTATCATCCCAAGTTTTATGCCTTCCTACGGGAGGTTCAAGGGGGGAAGGTCGGGGGGGGCGCTTCAGGTCTCCCAGCGACGGACCCCCAAAATCCTAGGGGAGAATGAAACAAGCCTGTGGAAAGTCAACAACGCCCTTGCAGACACCTGGAAGGTTCTGTGGTCGACTTGGAAACCCAAACCAACAATGAGCGGTGAGAATAAACACACAGCCACGCGGCTCTCCTGGCTGGCTCTATTCTGTTTTAAAACAATGCGTGCTTCCTTGTGGATTGTTCGCTCACCGTAATAAAGCGAGCCACGAAAACCAAGGATCTATAGGGCCACAAAGCCAGGCTGGCTGGCCGCGTGGTTGCTGGCCACGGCTGGCCACCCCGGAAGTCCATTTTCCTCCCTAATAAGTGGGGGAATAACGGGCCCTCCCCCTTACAGCTAAGTGAGGGCCAATGGGAAGCAGCAGGTACATCGTCATCATTACTGAAACGTTTAAGAAAATCTTTGCATGGACTAAGTGTCCTGCTAGTTATAAAATGGAGGTGCTGACAACGCATCAAAAAGGGTGATTTTACTCTGACGTTTCTATAAAGAATTACCATGGACGCAGGGCTGGGAAGGTGGCTCAGTGGTAGAGCGCTTGCCTTGCATGCATGAGGCCCTGGGTTCGATTCCTCAGCACCACATAAGCAAAAAGAAAA